ATGATTGTCCTCCTAAAGCTGGCCAAGCGTAAGGTAAGGTTAGAAGCCAGGAGAAAAGCCCGCAGTGTAGAAAATAATAGAGTGGGGAAAATTTCTGAAGCCGTATCTAAGAAGTACTCTTAAAGGGAAGAAATAGTCCTAGAGAGGTAGGAAATATTGCTTCTAAGTAAAGTTTAGAGAAGAGTATAAAAATGATCAATACAATAGTGATTAGTGAAATGCTATCAATAACATGACTAATTCTTTCCTGGTTGGCATATTCTGTTATTCCAAATATTTTCTAATAATTTTCATGTAATTCTTGTGTTTCCATATTTGTTGAACATTTGAGCAGTGAGATACCATTATCATACAATTCAGAATCATCTTTTGATTTCCATATTCACTATAACTTTTTGTTAAACATGAGTGATGAATATATCACAGTGTACGCATAAAGAAATTACTTGAATATCAATATAATGGAAAATTTGGTTTAGTAAAATGTATTTTCTTAAAAATATATGAGAAAAGGAAAGGCTGTAAAAGAGAGAGAGAGAAGAGAGAGAGAGAGAGAGAGAGAGAGAGAGAGAGAGAGAGAGAGAGAGAGAGAGAGAGAGAGAGAGAGAGAGAGAGAGAGAGAGAGAGAGAGAGAAAGAGAGAGAGAAGGAGAGAGAGAAAGAGAAAGAGAGAGGAAGAGAGAGAGGAAGAGAGAGAGGAAGAGAGAGAGAAAGAGAGAGAGAGAGAGAGAGAGAGAGAGAGAGAGAGAGAGAGAGAGAGAGAGAGAAGAGAGAAGAGAGAAGAGAGAAGAGAGAAGAGAGAAGAGAGAAGAGAGAAAAGAGAGTAGAGAGAGAAGAGAGAGAGTAGCGAGAGAAGAGAGAAAGAGAGAGAAGAGAGAGAGTAGAGAGAGAGAGAGAGAAGAGAGAGAGAGAAGAGAGAGAAGAGAGAGAGAGAGAGAGAGAGAAGAGAGAGAGAGAGAGAAGAGAGAGAGAGAGAGAGAGAATGCATTTCACTGAATACTGTTACTAATCCAACAGGATTTCATGAATAAAATTTGTTCTGAATTACCTCTTTTTGAATTACATACAGTATGCCTGCCAACTTTGTGACTTGTAGTTTGTAATCCATCTAACTTGTGCATTCTACTTGCTAAATAATAATAATATTAATAATGAAAAGAAAAAAGTTCACTCCCAGGCATCTATGAATACTACACTGATCTCTGATTTACTGTAGCTCCAACTCTTGCAAAGATCTCCAACTTGTTACACTCAGTGAGCTGATTTTTCTTAAAATTTAATAGTGTCAACATGGCTATCTATATTTTCGAACTGAGTTGAAGATGTGCTGAACATGTGTGCTACATATATGGAACCTTATCAACTGTTGGGGAATAAGGGGCCAATGTGTGAAAGTGGCGGGTGCAGAGAGTTTATTTACAGTCCTACCTGCAATGTGTGTATTTGTGTGTGTCATAAGGGGTCTTTGGATTTATAAGCTGTGATAGAGGATTAGGCACAGGGGAGAGGTGTTGGAATTCCTACTCATAACTTCAATATGTAGACATGTCTTCTCTCATTACTGTGTAAAATTTAACAGTAAAATGAAGGTTCAAAGTGGGGAAATATAAGCCCACAGAAAGTAGCACTCAACAACATTGTTGACCATATTACCTTTATAACATGTCTTTCAACGACTTGTTTACAATATCCTTTTTTGTGATGTATGGGGTAAACTACACTTTGCAAAGTAGGCAGGCCTTCTGTAACTACAAGGCATTGGAATTTCAAGTAAAAACAAAGACTGTCAAGAAAGAAAAAGATATCTCTAGTGAGAAGAAGTATCAGTTTTTGATAAAATCTCCCATGAACTTTTTCTGCTCACCAGTAATATTTACACTAATAAGATTTAAGCAAACTGGCAATTGATAAGAGACGTCATTTGCAAAATCATGAGGTGTCATAGAATAGCAGATAACTGAAGCCATGAAGCCAGCCTGATACTGACCCAGATTCATTCCCTTTCACTACAACTATACATCTCATAAAGCAAGAGCATCAAGGAAGACTACAGATTTTTGCTACAATCTGATATCCACCACTGCTATAGTAGAATATAATCTGCTAATGAACACACTTTTACAAGTTGCATATTATTTCAACAGATAATCGTGATCTACTCTGATTATTTCTGCTAAGCCATCACCAAGTTAGTTGTCTAATTACTGAATCAACTATAAATTAACTACATTCATGAACAAGTGCACTCACTTTGCATACAAAACCTTACATTAACCTTCACAATGGCATTACTGTCTTCCCATCTGCTAAAAGTGAAAAACTCAATTTCTTTGCAATCAAAGAAACTTACATTCTTGGCCTTTATTGAGTCAATTCTATAGATTTTGATCACCTAAACTACAAATACAAATGTGAACAAACACACTAACAGACATGGCACATGACTACAAACACATCCATATTATTCTGTTTACACACACACACAAAAAAAAGAAAAAAAGAAAGAAAGAAAAGAAAAAAAAAACTTTTATAATGGCACACACACACACATTTTTTTTTTTAATAATGGCATACAATTGTTATAAAAATAAATAAATAACCCTATCTGACAAAAAAGATCCATCATATTATATATCTTATTCTCACATACATTCATAAAGTTCTGAAATTTCCAACATTACAATGTCTCAAAAACTGCAGATGCGAAGACAATAAATTTCCGTACATTTGTGAAGACACGAACTGTCATTGAACAGAAAGACTTTCCATACCTTCAGTGGTCGCTGTTACTACGTCAGAGAACATGCCATCCCCCAACATATTTTTGCCCTGAACCTGGAACTCATATGTATGGCCAGGGGAAAGATTATGTATAGTTATACTGGTGCTTCCAGCCGGCTTTACATCTATTTGAGACCAAGTTCGAAAACCTAATGCTCGGTACCTAAAGAGAAGTGAGAAAAGAAAAATTAGAGACACTCATTTTTAACTGAACTAGAAATGTTTGAATTACCACAACTACTGCTCATATTCAGTGTGTCCTGAATGACTGCTCTGTCTACATTCATCTTAAATCTACATCTTTCTATACTAAGCAGAATGATTAAATTACCATATAGTATATTGCTGCTCCCAGTCTTTGCCCCCAGGATAGCCAGGTAACCAAGATAATTTCACACTAAATGGATCTGTTTCACTTGTGATGTTGTATGGTGGATGAGGTGTTGTGCCTTCCACCAGTAACTGTGTTGCTGTTACCAAAGTTGCAATTTCATTGCTAACCATGCATTCATAATATGCATGATCACTTTTTCGGAGAGAACGGATGGTAAGATTTCCTCCCACAATGTCAGTACGATCCCTTGGCAGATTTTGGTTATCACGCTGAAAATGACATCAAAAGAGATCAGTATATCATGTACTTTTCAACCTCTTCAATCATCACTCTAGAGCAAAGGTTTCTGATTGATGGTCTCCAGACCCCTGATCCTAGAGGGAGAATGGAGGGTTTGTGAGCAAAATGTTTAATTTCAAGAGGCTCCATCGGAAAATGTGTAATATATGCTTTCACATTTCAAATTTCCAAAAGTCTTATCATTTTGTTTAACTCAAGAGAGAACCAATAGACTGATAGAAACATGCAGTCAGTATAATGATATACATATATAAGCTATGAAATTCTTTTATATTACTTACCCTTTTCCAAGTAACTTCTGGAGTTGGAGAGCCTTGACCTCCGCATACGAGAGTCACTTCTTCTCCTACTTGTCCGTGATATTGAAGTTGGGGTCGAGGCGAAAATACTGGTGGATCACGAACTATAACCTGCATGATGGAATTATATTTACTAAAAAATAAACAGAGCCTATTTATGAAAAAAATCAAGATGAAGACTGTTATGTAATCTTGCTACTATGAAATGCTCTACTACGTAATAGAAAACTAGAATCTAATCTGTTACTGAAAAACAGATAATTCATATACTGATCTAATGGTGAAACAATAATATATTTCATTAAGAGCTGGCTCAATCATGGGAAACAAATTACCTCCATATCACCAGAGGAACCGGCTGTGGTGTGGCGGTTGTAAGGTGTGCAACTATAGCGTCCCTGATGAGATTGATTGACCTGAAAGAAAATTCAATTACTGGAGATATATTTTTCAAATCACAATGAAGCAACCAAAAATTTTGTCAACAACAACAATGCACACAAACTAGCATTTACTGTTTGACATTCAAGTAATGTGATAGAACAGCCAAGAAAAAAATACATGGAATGAAACTGCCTGTAAATTGTAGATATCCATTCCCCTTTTTACTGAGAAATAGGTAAAGATATATATGAGTGTATATGAAATAGAACAAGCATGCTGTATCATTAAGATTACATTATTCTTAGTACAGTATCTTAAAACATACCTTAGTTATAAGCAGAGAGCCATTATTAAGTTTGACTACAGTATTTTCTTTTTCTGCATCAAAGAGACGCTTGTCTTTTATCCAGGTAACAAACTGAATGGGAGGGTTGCTTTTAATAAAGCACTTGATAATTCCCTGCTGCCTGAAGGGGAGATACTGCACAGTTGGAGTATAAGTTACTCGTGCTGGATCTGTGAAAAGGAGAAATTGCTCAGTTTCAAGACCTTCCAAGATGATTCCAATCACTCCATAATATGAAACTAAGCCTTGTAAAAGCTCATACAAAATCAGAACAGTAATTTTGCAATTATTAACCATTAGACCTCTTAGAGTCAACTTACATTCTACATTGAGGTAAGCTGTGGCACGCTGAGGTGTCCCGATGCCGTTGGACACCTCACATGTGAAGAACCCGCCATCATCTGCACTGGTAGGATTGATCACAAGAGCCCCATCTTTCCTGACGATTGCACGGATGTCAAGCCAAGAAAGCTTATCAATGGCTACACCTTCCCTCTTCCAAATGACTGTTACATTGCCTGGCAAAGCTTTTGCTTCGCAGGGAAACTCGACCTTTTCTCCCTCTTGCCGCGTTTGGTTCTGAGGTGGAGTAACAATTACGGCGCCACCTGAAAAAAAGGAAAAGAAAAAAATCAACAAAATGGATCTAATTGCTCTAATAATTGCTCTTTCATGTAAATACAAAAGTGAATATTTGGTTTAAATATTCAAATGAAAAAACATTACTTACAAATATATACATCGTACTTACCAGCAATAACAACTTTGGCTTCATGGTGCACTCGTCCTTCAGCATTACGTGCTACGCAGACATAGTCACCAATATCCTGGTCTCTGATCTTGTTGATTCGAAGCTCTGTGCCATCATTAAAGATGCCAACACTGTCAGAGGGAACTACGGGCTCATCATCTCTGAACCAGAATATCTCTGGCTTCGGGGTTCCCTCCGCCTCACAATTAAGGATGATGGAGTTACCAATATTAACATAGGTAACATCATCTGGTGTTGTTGTAAACCGAGGCGGAGCTGCGGGAAGAAAGAAAAACACATTTTTTAAGAGAAAACGTCATGGATTCTCCATAAACAGACTCAGAATGGAGATACAACAACATATGTTTCTTTGCAATATGGGAACAGTACATTCTTAACTTCATCAACTTGAATGTTTGATATGTCCTTCCACCTGATTGTAATTACAGCATATAAAACGCAGCAGCACATGCAACCACCCTAGATTTAGCACGACGTATGTTAAAATGTTAAACTGAGTGAAATATCTTATGACTCAGTGCCACTCAATGACCTTCGTATTTCCGGCTAATGCGTATCTTGTATTTTCTATTATTTCAATATTTTTTTAGGCTGAGAATTCAAAATCACACCATTCTGTTTTTAGCTAAAAAAGTTCACAAAACTCTGGGGGGGAAATCATTACAATATCGCATAAAAAAAAAAAAAAATACAAGGCCTATTTGTGTAATATGAACATTCCTATATACAATCGTGAATGTACCTCTGGAAAAATACTAAAGTGAAGGAAAGTCTTGTACTTATAAAGAATAAGTGGAAGGATGACTGGAATTTTATAACTACTTTTATTCACCTCCCATTTATACAATAAAATTAGTTTGTGAATAAATTATGGGTTGTATAAGTGAAAGTCATCAGGGTACACAAGGACCTTGCAAAAGAGTTTTTCTCTCACACCCACCCACTGGTCTAACTGGCCATGTGATCAAGGGCAGAACACGTGTTCACAAAAATGGAAAATCTAATTCAATCTTTCAGATCAATCAACAAGTTTACGAGAACTGTAATTATAAGACGGCAAAAACTGTAAACATATGAAGAAGCAAATACTCTTGCTCAAATTATGAGTCAAAGATTATCATTAATTATCGCTGGTGATACAGCTCTAGCAGACATATGACTATAAGCCAAGAGGGGTGGGACCTTCCATATGTCCAGATTGGAAGTACATGGAAGACAGATGCTTTGGCACCTTAACCTGGCTTTTTGCTGGGCATGTGCGCTGTTCTGGGTATAACCAAATCAAAACGCCATGCCTGTTGGGGCAAGCCATCCCTTCCAATTTTTACAATCGTCTGCTTGCACTTGAAACTGGTCTCCTCCATTAAATATCTGAGGTTTTGGATAAAGGGCAGCCAACAGAAGTAACCAAGGGCGAGCCTATTTATTTTTATTGACTATGAGTTATTTATATTACTTTATTCCGGTACCATTAAATTTCTGTTATACATAGGGCCATATCCCTTACGCAACTGGCTTTGTAAAGTCCTGTTTGGATTCGATGATGGAGGCTCATGTCCGGGAAGAGAGCTCTCGGTCTATTTTTTTATTTTTTATTTTTATTTTTTTTATTTTTTTATTTTTTAAGTTTAAGACATGTTCGCAGAGAAACATGCTTACTAGGCCGCGGGATGATGCGGTAGGGTGGCCAGTTCCTTTCCGCCCGGACTTTGACCCCGACATGCTGATGTCAGCATATCAGTACTCATTCACAGCTGAGTCGACTGAGAGGGGCGGCGGCCGGGCGCGAACCCGGGACCTCGCGATTGCAAAGCCAGCGCTATACCACTGAGCTATGACACCCTATGGGCCAAGAAAAAAGTACACAAAGTTTAGTTTGCCTTTTACGTGACAGGAAAAGAGAACCAAGGTGCGTGACCGAAAGAGTTTTTCACAATATTTATGGTTTTATTCACCTGTAAAGAACGGTTCAATAAAAAAAAAAAAAAAAACGAAATCATGACAGTGCACAATAACTTGAGTGAAAAACGGGGCGTCCCCCGTAGAGTTGTGCACGCCACACCACAACCTTCCTACCGATATTTACTATCCTCTCTTGGTGTTTGTCAGGTATTCGCTTCGCTGATGTGTAATTTGAAATAAAAAAACCGTTGCTTCCCACGCTGCAGGAATATTTAATGGGAGAGGAGTATCTCCTGAACCAGTCGTTTCCGATGGAAAAAAGCTGATTCACCATCAATAACGAGATTCGATCGATGTGAATAAAAACCCTGATTTGACGAAAGGAAATTCTTTAGATGTAGAGTTTTTCCAACTGTTTTAATTCTCCATACTCGTACCCCATATAGGATGGTCCCCATAATGAGACGGTAATTAAAAATACACAGATAACTTCGTTGGCGTTGGACACAACTAACCTTACTTACTGTCATTACCGATGCCATTTGTACGTATCAGACTCAGCCGGTACTGACAGATAAAGGTGACAGGAAAGCGCTTGCTAAGAATTAGACATCCCTGTACTTAAATTACTGGTTACTATTACATGCCCATACAAGCAATACACTTTTAGTAGGAGTAAAAATATCGTGGTATTGGTATGAATATGATGTTTATGACCATGACACATGAGTGTTTTACCTGGCCCCTCTGGTCACCAAGTCCAGCGTTCTGTTAACATGCACTGTTTGGCATGTCTGCCTCCACGTGTTTTGGAGCCTCACTCACCATGAACATCTAAGTGAATCCACGTTCCGTTGTCGGGGGATCCAGTCCGGTCCAGGTAGAAGACCTTGCACTCGTACCAGCCCTGGTCGTCCTCCCTGACGTTGGTCAGGTTGAGGGAGGCCAGGCCGTACGTGGTGTCCTGCGACACCCTGGACGCGCGCCCCTTGTACGTGTCCTCCACGTGGGGGTCATACCCCTCATACCAGATGTAGATGGGAATCTTGTGGTGCTGTTGAGGGAAAACTTGGAATTAATGGCTGAAGCTTTGGGCATGGTGTATGTAACGCGGGGCTGAAAGGCCGAGCAGAACACACGGCATTCAGGTGATAAAAAGCAGAAAGGCGCACAGACACCCATAATATCTCACTTTTTCGCACACACACATACATAGCAGAACACTGAATGCTTTTCCCTTTCCCCGCAACAGAAAAAGCCTCTCAGATCCCTGCACATTAAACCCACAACTGGTCAGCCATAAAAGTGAGAGCGTCACATGCGCCTCTCTCATGGACCAATCAGCAGACAGGTGCTACAACTGACTCGAGCGGAGGTCAACTCATGTCAGCTACTAAGAGGATTATATATAACAGTAAAATAAAAGAATCTGCAATGGCCAAGTGAAACTGATCTGGAATTTGGCGTGTGAATCAATGTATTTGTGAATCAGTATGTATGCACTTCCTTTGATATTAAACTTTCAACTGGAAAAATAGCTTCCAATATAGGGCATTTGGGTAAACTGGCGACAGGTGCAACGTCTGCGCTCTGAAGCAGAAGTTTATCACAGACGGAGGGCGAGGAAAGTAATGAAATGTGAATGCTGCCGACCGTAGATTTATATACAATGACAACGCCTATTTGGCGGATGAACACAACTTTTAGAACAGTTAACCCATTGCCGCCGGGGAAAATGAACAAAAAATGGGGAGAATGCAATACTCATTTTTCATATTTTTATGAAATATCTCTGTCCATAGATGGCTCTTCTAGCCCTGATTTCACCTGTCCTTGAATTGGCGGGAAAAAACGTATTCTTACTAGTGCTATAAATATAGATGGTGTTATTTTTAACAGCAAATTAGGATAACGTTAAATATTTTCGTAAATCGATGAAAAGGGTGAACGGGCGAGACAGGCAGTACTCGTAATTGGCTCATTGGATACTTAGTACAAGTGTAGCCATCTATGTGTAAAAACAATCGAACAAGTCGACTCACAGTGGGCATGGCATGTACGTACATGCCATCCCCGGCGGCAATGGGTTAAAAGTGAAAATTAAAGAGAAGAAAAGCGAAAAGAGAGAGAGAGCGAGAGAGAGAGAGAGAGAGAGAGAGAGAGAGAGAGAGAGAGAGAGAGAGAGAGAGAGAGAGAGAGAGAGAGAGAGAGAGAGAGAGAGAGAGAGAGAGAGAGAGAGAGAGAGAGAGAGAGAGAGAGAGAGAGAGAGAGAGAGAGAGAGAGAGAGAGAGAGAGAGAGAGAGAGAGAGAGAGAGAGAGAGAGAGAGAGAGAGAGAGAGAGAGAGAGAGAGAGAGAGAGAGAGAGAGAGAGAGAGAGAGAGAGAGAGAGAGAGAGAGAGAGAGAGAGAGAGAGAGAGAGAGAGAGAGAGAGAGAGAGAGAGAGAGAGAGAGAGAGAGAGAGAGAGAGAGAGAGAGAGAGAGAGAGAGAGAGAGAGAGACATCGGGTGGTGTAGTAACGCGGGGCTGAAAGCCGAGCAGAACACACGGCACTTCAGGTGATAAAAGCAGAAAGGCGCACAGACACCCATAATATCTCACTTTTTCGCCACACACACATACATAGCAGAACACTGAATGCTTTTCCCTTTCCCCGCAACAGAAAAAGCCTCTCAGATCCCTGCACATTAAACCCACAACTGGTCAGCCATAAAAGTGAGAGCGTCACATGCGCCTCTCTCATGGACCAATCAGCAGACAGGTGCTACAACTGACTCGAGCGGAGGTCAACTCATGTCAGCTACTAAGAGGATTATATATAACAGTAAAATAAAAGAATCTGCAATGGCCAAGTGAAACTGATCTGGAATTTGGCGTGTGAATCAA